TCTCCCTTCAGGTAACACTGAATTCCCTATCTTCCTTCAAAGATGCTTTTGAGAGTGCCTTTACTAAAGCAATTGCTGCAGAAGCCACACATTTCTCAGAAAGTTTTTCATAAAATTACTGTTCTATTCTTTCACTGTTTCATTAAGGCATTGAAATTAGATTGGTCTTTTATATATACTCGTTAGTGGGTCTGATTCTTTCTCTAGTAGTAGCCTTCACAGGAGGAGATAGAACTGCCATAGCACACATTCACATTCTAAAAGGAATTGTTCATATTCTTTTAAGAGAACAAAAAATCATCTCTTCTTTCTTAGTCTTAATTCATTTTCTCTTTTGGCTCACAAAGGGGGCACAATTAGGTGAGATGTCATGGGGGAGAGGCTAAGGAGGCAAAGAGAAAGACAGTCTCATTAATTGAAATTGTATTTCCTGCTTGTTAATTACCTGGATGCTGTACCACCTGATTTGAGAAAAGAAACTTCTAAAAATGTTGGGATTTCTTTGTAACAGATTATTAACATAAAGTTTAAATTTTAATTGGATTTTTGGTAAGTGACCTTTATTGCTCCTGGCAGCGACACGACATACAATAACTAAATAATCCAATTGGAGTCAAAGAGATTCCAAATGTCAAGATGGCAATGAAAGTGGTACAAACCATGCTTCTAATTTTCAGAATCTAAACAGCCAAACAAACCAGGCACAATAAACTCAGTGAGACAGTCACAATGGATCGCCTGCCCTCCAACCCACCACACAAGCATTTTTGAAGAAGACTTAAAGAATAAAATTTTGAACCTGTCCCAGTAAACCGCAGTAAGATAATGAAGAATCATAGAATCTACTGCTAAGCCTTTGAATTCAACTCTGATTAGATGTTCTTGGTGAAGAAAACTATTGAATCAAATATAGGTTATACATGTGAAAAAAGCATGTCCCAATTCTGCATGGAAACCTAAATTAGTTATAATCCGTAACATCAGAAGCCACTGGGCAAAAACATTTGATATTGAAACTCCCCCAACCTCACAAAGAGTGGGCACTGGGTGAGAGTGTGAAATCATTCAGAAAGCAATATAATTTGTGCCTTCTCAGGAAGGAGGAGATATCACTCTGACAGGATGAATACTGTTTGGGGATTTTAATTTTATATTTTTTTCCCTAAAAATATCAGTTTCTGTTATTTAAGAAGTCAGCTGTCTCTATATTTAATTTCCTGAGGATAAGTGTAGGGCAGATCAAAATGTAAAAGAAGCAAGTCTTTCTTGTTTTTACTTTCCAAATATCTAAGCTCTTGGGAGGACTTCTAAGTTTGAAAAATAAGTAAAAATAAAAAACATGTATGCAGACATCAAAATAACTTCTAGCCTTGCCTTTGACTAAGATCTTGTCCTTGAGCAAAGAGACAAGCAGATAAGGAAGACAAATTGTTCCCACTATCTTTGCCACTGGTGTGAAGACCTACCTCAGTGCAGAGTATTCAGCCTTCTTATTTGACCCGAGGATTAAAAACTCTAGACTATCTAGTAATATGTTTAGCATATGCTTTAACAAAAATGTTGTAGATTGATAAGTTAAGTCCATTGTTCTGTTGATAAATATACTCAGTATAGTCTTCCATTTTATCAGAGTAAATTCTGCCCCAGAGGGTTCCTGGCTCTGAAGACTTTCTCTGCTGAAGTTATGCGATCCATTGATTTCTTCCTTTTCTAATTAGAAACCCAACTCTGCATATCGTAAACTATTTCCCACTGCAGTGATCCCATTGTAGCAAATTATAACTATTACTTTAGCTTACAATCACTACTCTGAATACAAACCTACCTCCATCAAAACATTTACTTGCTTCAACTTCCTCAAATTAAAACTACTATTGGGTTATAGATTAATATACGTAAAATATATATTAATATACATGTATGTATTTATATGTATTGTGCTATGTGTAAATATCTATCCAGTGTCTAATATATATGCATATAAACATATCTCATATGTATGCATTATGTATGATTGGGTAAACAAGCCATTAAATTTTTTTAATGCATTCTATTTCCATTTTGAATAGGAGACACCAATTTCATCGATTATTGACTCTCATTTGAGGGATATTATTTTTAACATGCAGTAATCAAAGTTTCACTAAGCATTTATACATTTCAAAAATAATAAACAATCTTATTGTCTATGAATCTCCTTTTTCATTCTGTTACATACATATACAAAGGGTACTATCTTTGTTAAAATGCCTAAATCATACACATTTTACTCATATTTCTTTCTTTTTCATTATGGTCTATAAATTGTGCCTAATTAGATACCATGCTTTTGATTATTTTAATTTTCTTAATATTTTCCTCCCTTCAATTCAGAAATCACTTGTGAATCTTCATTTGATCTTACTTTCTCTTGAATTTTACTCTGTTACATGTCAGTATATCTGACTCCACCAACTGTCTTGGCAATATTTGCTTCTGTGAGTTATAAAACATATTATTAAATTCCACATATCATATAAAATATATGATTAAATTCCATAATCTAATCATAAAATACATATAAAAATTAAATATATACCAGATGAAAATATCATAACCATAAGACATACTAAGTATTTAGAATATATACCAATTGTTAAAGGCATGGGCATTTGATGAGTCAAGTGAAGATATACATACTCTACACATTAATTCTTTTAGATTACAAATTAGAGCATGGAGCATACCTTGCAAAGGATTTTTATTATCTAATTTTTAAAAAGTCTAGTATGTCATTAAATCAATATTTAAATTATTCTTATAAAATTTGAATTCCCATACTTTGCTGAGAGTTGAGAATATCGCAGTTGTATCAGTTGTTAGTATCTCTTAGTACAAAGCTTGTGATTCATGTGCTGGAAGTAAGTATAGGAAGTAAAGCTAGTGCAATGAGCCATAAAGTGAATTATAAAGTGCTCAGCAAATTCAAGGGTTCAGAGCCTATTAAAAATAATTTCAAAGATCCTGAATGTGGAAATTCAATGAGACAAAGAGATAAACTTGGGCTTTAGTGAGAGACATCTGAACAAGATGTATTTGGGTAAGTAAGGATAGAGGCGGTTTTTTGAAGCAGGTAGTGATAGTCTTCTTAAAAAATGTATTTGTTGGTTATCATACTTTGTATGTAAGTGTTTTCAGTTTATAGAAACAAAGTTTGGGCAGGAATACAGAAGGTAACTCAATATTTTTCAGATCCATTCATCTTGAAGTCAGTGTTTCTACAATGTGTTTTCATTTTCTTTGAACTAAAGCATTTAGCAATATTTTGAACGAGTGTTGGTAAGGATGTGGAGAAAAATGTATCCTCATGCACTATTGGTGGGAATGTAAATTGGCACAGCCCGAGTGGAAAACAGCAGAGAGGTTTCTCAAAAAATTAAAAATATTTTGTAATATATGCATTCTACCACAGAATGTGTGCATAACTTAGAAATAAACACAACAACTTTGCTTTGCCCAAAGTTATTAAAATACAAATATCTATGTGTGTATGTATGTATGCATGTGTGTATATGCATAAGCTTGGTATAATATTTACATAATGATTCAAGGGCCACAAATAGCAAGGCGCTCTTGAAGTGAAAGTGGAGAGTGATAATGGTTTTCCTTGTGTCGTTTCTAATCCTAGAAGGAAGATTTAAAGACTTCACTATTAAGTATGCTGTTTGCTATTATTTTTAGAATCCTTTATCAGATTGAATACCTTACAAGATGTCAATTATTAAGATATTATTACAAATTAGAATAATTGGGGCGCCTGGATGGCTCAGTTGGTGGAGCATGTGACCATCTATCTCCGGGTTGTAGGTTTACACCCACATTGGGTGTTGAGATTGCTAAAAAATAAAAAAATAAAAAAAAAAAGAAAGACAAGTGACAGTATACTACTGGCAGAATATGCAAATGGATTTAATGCCTATGTAGACAATTTATAACAAAGGTGTCAGTACAAACTAGTGGGGAAAATATGGTCTTTTCAATAAGTGGTGGTGGGCCAATTAAACTGTCAAATGGAGAAATAAATAAATCTTTTTTTAAAAGGTTTTGTTTATGAGAGAGAGCATGAAGCAGGGGGGAGGGGCAGAAGGAGAGGGAGAAGCAGGCTCAAACTCAGGACACCCAGGTCATGACCTGAGCAGAAGTTTAACCGATTGAGTCACCCAAGTGCCCCCCTTTGAGTATGTTTTCTATCTATTTTAGGTCACAGATAATTTTATGACTATACACTAAATAATTCCTGTTTTAAATATGAAACTTTTGGCAGGAAAGCACCTATATTGAAATAGCATCTCCTATAAGGTAGTAATCTGCCTCCAATTGTTTTAACTTCTAGAATCAGTCCATTTTCTATTCTTGCTTCTCTTTGTCATTTTAATTGTAAAAATGATTTAATATTTTTGGCAGAAACCTATTGTATTTGTCACTAAAATGTTTGGAAGAAAAGCTGCAGGCATCATATCATATTTCACCTCCCAGTTCTAGAAGACAGAAACCATTATTGTGTTATCAACATGCCTTCCCGTAGCATGGTTCCTAAATGATTCATCTTTATGAAACTATATTTTTCGAGACTGGTAAGAAAATTTTAAAGGAAAACAAACATGACCTCGTCTTCTTCCCTTAAACCTGTAAGCCAATACAGAGCAGGGAAACGTTCTTAAATAATGCTATTTTATTCTAGACTTGAACAGCACAGGGAAGATTATAGTACCTAGGAAGGAAAGGCATAAGGTTAAAGCTCATTACTCACTACATAGTCCAAGATACAAATATGAGGACCAAGAATATTCCAAATGAAAATGCCGTTCAAAGCTAAACACGAACATTCTTTCGTCAAACATGAACATTTTTCATACAATCTAATAAACAAACACAAATACTGAAGGAAAACACTTTTTATGATGTCTTGCCATCTGTGATATTTAGATCTAAATTAAGTCATTCCATTTAACTTTCTACAGCCAAGGAAGAGTATTCTGCAATTCTCCTACAAGATAAATGGAAATTTACAAGAAAACCATCACCTGTGACCTGCAGGCACAGCACAGGCATATCAAGCCTGTTTGGAACACCAGTGCAGATCTTGAACTTGGGAACATTTCTCATTATCTAGGCAGATGACATTGCAACAAGTCAATTTAACACACTGGCCATGAAAAATCTCACTACTTGATCACACTGCGATAAAAGTAAGTTCATAGTTGACATTGTTCTGAAAAGAGAGGCTGGTATCATACAGTGATTTGTATCCTGTGTTTAAATATCCCCTACTCCTTCACTTCAACTTTTGTGCTTTCTTTTCTTTTTTTTTTTTTTTTTAAGATTTTATTTATTTATTTGAGACAGAGAGAATGAGAGAGACAGAGAGCACATGAGAGGGGGGAGGGTCAGAGGCAGAAGCAGGCTCCCTGCCAAGCAGGGAGCCCGATGCGGGACTCGATCCCGGGACTCCAGGATCATGACCTGAGCCGAAAGCAGCCGCCTAACCAACTGAGCCACCCAGGCGCCCAACTTTTGTGCTTTCTAAACAGCAAGAAGCCAGATAACTAATATTCAAAAGAATAACATATAAAAAGGAAGAAGTCTTTGTGTATTTAATAATACAAATACATTCAGGAGAGACTTGTCCAACTGTGTGGTTATTTAGGAATCTTTAATATAAATTTAATATTTATTTTAACTTTTATCACAAGGTGATGAAACATTCAAAACTTGCCCATTTTAGTTATTGTGAATAGCTATGGCATCTGAAGAAATTTCTGGTCATCCAATTACTGTCTAACTTGTTCACTCAAAAAGCTTTCAGTGTCTTCCCTAGCCACTGAGTTCAAGTGATCTCAAAAGTGTGAAGTTTTTATGTTTCACTTTTATTTTTCAGCATAAGTTCGTATTTACCAAAATAGAGATTGAGACAGCTAATAAAACAAAATTAAGGATTATAGTCAAAGTTTATAATAGTTCATATACTTAAGACATATTATACATAGCATTATAATTACTTTAAATCTTTTAATAACACTTTAAGTATAAGACAGTAATTTTCTTTCCATTGTCAATTACATTATTTATTTTTCATAACAATTCTCTTACATAAATAACACTGAGATTATAAGGTTTGTGATAAATGAGTGGTGTTCATGGAAAGAAAAAAAATGATTTGCCCACTCCTGGAAACCAGTTATCCATGGATCTCTTGCATTTCTGTCCATCTTCTGAGCAAAGCGTTGGCAGGTTTTGTTATAGACTCTTCAAGGATGTTTGTATAGTAAGCAGTCTGGGAAAAGATTCTACTATATTCTTGCTTGGATAGATAAATTTGAAAAGACTGAGAATACCAAGTTTTAGATAAGATATGGAGCAACTGGAACCTGTTTTAGCTTTGAAGAGATAATGAGGGAGGGCATTTAGTCTGTTTTCTGGTTGTACAATTCTTTAAATCGCAACTTATTTTTAGCATAATCTACCTTTAACTTCAGATGATGTGGGTCTTTCTAAATGTTGCCATGAAGGTTTTCTGGCATTCATGGTATGCCTTGAATTGATAGTAGGTTGACCTGATTTTGTAGTTCTTTTTTTTTTTTTTTTTTGGCAAGTCTTCTAAGAGAGTAAGCAAAATGTAAGCAACTCCAAAATCTGTATAAATACCTCTGCTCCATTAAATTTCAGGTGCTACAACTAGTGCTATGAGTAATAAACTCTTCTTTGTTTTTAACCCAACACTGTATCTTGTATTTCCTGTCAGTACCCATGAAACTATGGCAAGTGAACATTTTTTGCTAGCAAGTGGGGTAAATGTCAGACTCTTCCCAGTTCTTGGCAGTTTGAGTAATGAAGATGAGGTGGTGAAAGAGAAATGGCTTTCTCAAACAGAAACAATAGAAATGATAAGAGAAAAGTCCCAGGGATATGGTAGTGAATGCTCTTGCCCAAGCTGTCAACAGCAAGGGTTGGTATAGGGGCTCTCCACTGCCCTACCTGCTAGTGAGTATTGAAACAAGGGGTGTTTGAGGTGTTACACACTTTCCTCCTGGAAGGGTCAAGGAGTCCCCAAAACTGAAATAAATTATGTCAGCAATGATAATGTAGGATTTTATGTGGACCAAAACCAGAAGTGTATTTAGCTAAACCCCAGAACACAGTATGCTACTCAAAACAGAAAGTGAATGTAAAATCTTGCTTGCTGGCACAAGGCCATTCCCTCCTTCTGCACATTCTAATGTCCCTCTCCTTCCCAACGTCAGCTATGTTAAGAAGAAAGATGATTAAATGCGGGGCCAAAGTCTTTCTGTGTCCAGGTGGTAGTGAAGGGTACATACACCTGTCTCCAAGTATGCAGAAGGACTTCAATGGGGAAGGGACTTACACTTGTATGATTTTGCTGGATACAAGTACCCAATTGATCATCCTACTCAGCAACATGGAGTGTAAGGGGTGCCCAGATTAAATGCAATGTGTTTGTACAGGGTTCACAGTAAGGGAAGAAACTAATATAACTTTGAGAGTTGAGTCCTTTAAGCTACTTCAGTGTTCTCTTTTTGTTGCTTCTAGGTCTAAATGTATAATAGAAATTGATGTGTTACATGCTTGCACTTACACATCCCATAAGTGCCAGAGAAAATTAGTCCTCCAAGGGAAGATCTATAGATATAGAAATGATAGTAAGATAAACTGCCCTGCCATTTGCCACCAGTAAGAAGTGAGTCGGGATTTAACGCCAACACTCCTACCCTATGGTTTCCAAAGTTTTCACTACGTAGATGATGTCCTCCTCTTGGTTGGCAAGTTAGAAGCCTCAGTTTCAGTGTTCTGATTGTGGTGTGTTACAGCTTTCCTAGAAGGGATGCCAAAGTAACCCTGAAAAACTTCAGGAGCCTGATTGCCAAATAGTTTCTTAGGAATATGTGGGTTGATTCACAACCTTCTACCCTCTGGCAGTGGCACAAGGGTACTCTTGTCTCTTAAGCTCCAACAACCAAAAAGGAAACCTAGCACTACATTTTACTACTTGAACATGGGGTCAATACAAATATGTGTGACGATTTTGCCATCTAAAGCATCTATCAGGGCACCTGGGTGGCTCAGTCAGTTAAGTGTCTGCCTCCAGCTCAGGTCGTGATCCCACGGTCCTGGGATTGAGTCCCGCATGGGGTTCCCTTCTCTGCGAGGAATCTGCTTCTCCCTCTGCCTCTGCCTTTTTCTCTCTCTGTCTCTCATGAATAAATAAATAAAATAAAATAAAATAAAAATAATAAAGCCCTATCAGGAGTGTTCTCCCCGCCCCTCAGGAGATCCTTTGCTGTTTAGGACTTACAGCCTTACCTTTTATTTTTATTTTTTTAAGATTTTATTCATTTTGGGGCACCTGGGTGCCTCAGTCGGTTAAGCGTCTGCCCTCAGTTCAGGTCATGATTCAGAGGTCCTGGGATCCAGCCCTACGTCAGGCTCCCATCTGTGAGCCTGCTTCTCCCTTTAACCTCTGCCACTTCCCCTGCTTGTGGTCTCTCTTTCTCTCTCGCTCTCTCTAAGTAAAATAAATAAATAAAACTTTTAAAAAAACCTGATTTTTTTATTTGAGAGAGAGAGAGTACGTGTGAGCAGGCGGAGGGGAAGAGGAAGAGAGAGAATCCCAAGCAGATCCATGCCAAGCACAGAGCCTGAAGCAGGGCTTGATCCCATGACCCTGAAACCCAGAGAGAGGAGCTGAAACCAAGCTTCTGATGCTCAACCAACAGAACCACCCAGGTGCCCCAAGGATACTCGTTTAAAAAGTAGCTATTAGGGGTGCCTGGGTGGCTCAGTCGTTAGGCGTCTGCCTTTGGCTCAGGTCATGATCCCAGGGTCCTGGGATCGAGTCCCGCATCAGGCTCCCTGGTCAGCGGGAAGCCTGCTTCTCCCTCTCCCACTCCCCCTGCTTGTGTTCCCTCTCTCGCTCTCTCTGTCAATTAAATAAATAAATAAAATCTTTAAAAAATAATAAAAAAAAAAAAGTAGCTATTAGCTTTCTACTGGGCTCTTGTTGAAATGGAACACCAAACCCATAGAGACCCTGTGACTCTCTGGTCTGATATTTCCATATCAGGGTGGGTCAACTTGTACTTAATGACTGAAAGAGTAGGAGGGCCTCAAAATTTCGTTATATGTAGCAGTTATCACCGTATTACCTCTCAGATCTAAATCCATACCTCACCTGGATAACCACGTAGGAAATACTCTAAACCCTATGCAAGTCCTACTTGGGGAACCCAACAAGTGTGAACACACTTTCATTCAGGGGCACTCTGTCCCCTTGGAACTCTACTTTCTGTGTGAGAATCACACATCAATCTGCCTCTTTTCTGAGAACACAGTGACTTGCATCTTGGGTGGGTGATAAGAGATCTTCAAGTGTTTAAGGAAATAACACCTCAGCCTTGGAAGGTATTCCAGTCAGTCTCAACTCACTGGCCAAAGTTGTGATGGATGACACAAGTACCCTAGACTTCCTTCTTGAAGGTCAAGGTGGAATTTGTACAATCCTGTTGTTTCTGGATTAATGCCTCAGGACAAGTGGAAATGTCAATAAAGTAATGCGGCTTTATATGGTAGATATTGAGGGTTTTGCACATTTGCTTATCAAGAACCCCAGAGAGCATGGCTGAAGTCAATATTGCAGATTGGCCTTACCTTGCTGCTTGGAATCCTGTTGATTGCATTGCTGTTTGAGGAAAATAGCATCTCCTGTTGGGCAGATGAATCATAGTAGCTGAGGGAGTGGTATGCCCATGGATAAATTTACCTGAAGCAAAGATGGTGTAGAAACATGGGTGGGTAATGTTGGAAGATAATTTTCCATGAATCTCTAATGTTTTCCTGTTATTCTAAGCAAAGGCTTTTTTTTTTTTTCCTGGACTACCTTTCTAAGGATGTCTGTATAACAGACATTTTAGTAGGATAGTAAATAGTGTCTTCCCTGCCCAGACACAGGGTAAATTTGCTTCCTGACCAAACTAATAAAGATAATGTCTCCCTCCTGGACATAGATTGGCAGGTTTGCTAGCAGCCCATTTATATGACTGGGATGGTTCCTTAGCTCAGGGCTACTCAACTATGATGTAAACTCACTGTGTGTACAGCATCTACCTGGCCCACTCCATATGACCCCAGGGGGCTTGGGGATTTGGGCAACAAATGCAACCATGAAACTCATACTACCTGGTATTCTGAGTAAAAGTCTGTTAGACCAAGGCATTTCATATTTTCTGCCAACATCTATGAGACTGGGTGGCTACACTGTAGATTGAGAGTAGGTAAACCTCATACCTTTCACAGGTTTTAATATCCACATTTACTTCTCTATCCAGGAGAAACAGACCTAGAACCTTGGTCTCCATTTCCCAATAGTGCCTTATTTATATACAACCATGGCATTTGTTATTACTGTTAAAGTGCCCAATGGGAATTTACATTCTAAGTGTATTTTTTGACAGAATAGAAAGTATTTCCTGTATCCTCATTTTTAATGTCTACTTAAGAATAATTTTTTTTCAATGAGTAGCAACACCTGGAATTTTACTGAAATCATGTTTTTTAGTAAGAAGAGTTCACCACACCAGTGTTGATTTTAAACTTGGCAAGCTTATTTTTCTATTTCAAATTTAAACTGAGAGAGTAATCAGCAACAACAGGGCTGTAGGGGAAAATAGCATGCTGAAGTAAAAGTACTTTTGGTTCTTTGAATTATAGGGATTTACTTTGTTACAAGATTTATGTACAACCTAAAGCAATGCACATTAAAAAAAAATTCCCAGGTGATTAATCTGCAGTCTTTGAAAAAAGCAATGCAAACCTGAAAGTTTTTTATAAAAACTGAAACATTGTGTTTTGAAGTTCTTTGTTAGGATTCCAAAATAATTTAAGGTATATAATTTTCATAAAAGCTATAATAGAAACATCAATTCTTATAATTTGCAATGCTGTATATATTTAATAAATTAATTAGAACATATTGATTTTATGGCATACTATTGTGGTATTATTACATATTAATAATACCTACAGAGCATTAACAAAATAATGCCTACAGAGACTATTCTTAGATTATATTTATCACAATTCATGTGTGAACTTGTTTCTATAAAAAGTATAAGTTAGTTCTGAGGAAAATTAACTGAGGATAACTTTTGAATAAAACTAACCTAATAAAATACATATACATTTTATTTATTTTAGTGGAAAGCCAGTCTAAATCAGCTAAGTCTAAATTATAAACTTAACAGAGCTACAAAAGAATATATATATTATATATATGTATATGCTACATATATATAGCATATATATAGATTAGCATATATACATATGTCAGTCTCAACTCACTGGCCAAAGTTGTGATGGATGACACAAGTACCCTAGACTTCCTTCTTGAAGGTCAAGGTGGAATTTGTACAATCCTGTTGTATCTGGATTAGCATATATACATATGCTAATCTAAATTAATTCAGGAAAGTACTGCTTTGAAGAGGCCCTTAGATACCTGGTGTTAATTTGAAAATAAAGAAAAAAATTGAAAGAACGAAAAGAAAGGAATAAAATTGCTTAAGGAGATTGTATAGACGTTCTGGTTCAAGATGGTGATGTAGGAAGATCCTGAACTCATCTCCTCCCATGGACACACTGAGTCTACAGGAAAAACTACACAATTTCTCTTATAAAAACCTAAAGCCTGGATGAGTGACAGCTATACATCAGGCAACCAAGAAGAGAACCACATCAAAGTGGGTAGGTGAGACCAGGACATTCAAAATAATCTCAAAATAAGCCCACCCCCAGTGCAGCATCCCACAACCAGGAGGGAATTCAAAACCTAGAGCTTCTCCCTGAGGAGCAAAGTATTCAAATCCACTTTGCACATTCCAACTTTTGAGACATACACTTGAAAGATGAACCTCCAAAACATCTAACTTTGAAAAGCAATAGAGCTCCTGTCCCAAGACCCACAATATACTCGAGTGATCTGAGACACAGCCCTTACAGGGTGTGTGTACTGGGACTCACCCATCCAAGGGCCCTGCTCAGAGGCAGCTAATAATGACCTCACTTAAAGTAAAGGAGGCTTGCTGCTTATGTTAAAGCATCAGCCTGAGGGGCAGACCTCTAATTTCACAAACACGTCTAGGAGTTGGCTTGAACACAGCTCCAGGGATGGGAGACTGATGGGCACCATCTCTATGTTCTCCCTTTGCCATTCTCCAGAGCACCAGTATCTCCCAGAAGGGAGCTTTTACATACATCTGGTGCCCCAATTATTTCAGCTGCTATCTAGGTGACATCTTTTGATCACTGGGCTCTGAAGTCCAGGAGCACGTATGTTCCTAGTCCCATGGGATTGTAATAATCAGTGTCACCCCCAAAAAAGAGCTCATATTCCTATCTGGTGCCTCAATTTATGTGACTGCTACCAGGGGATATCTCTACATTGCCTGGCTTGGTGGCCAGTGGGGCTTACACTCAAAGGTCCCATAGGACTGTAAAGAGTTCTTAAACATCTACCATCCCCAGGGCACAGCAAAATGAAACAGGAGTTCTGCTCTTTTGTAAAGGAGGCTTATTAGCTAATGGTCATAACTGTGGCCCGAGGGTCAAGTTTCTAGTTAAACATGCATCTTGGGGCTGACTAATCTTTTCCAGAGATCTCGGAGGGCAGGTGCGATTTTCATGCTTATCCACTGCTGTATTTAAATTTATACTATAATTTTATATTATGCCCAGTAGTATTTACTTATTGTTTTATGAAAATATCTATTGAAAACATCTAAAAATTAAAGTCAAAATTAATGTCTATAAATTACTTATATGATGATTTTTAGATACCATTAGTAAATTTTCTCTCACAACTGTTTTAGGTGACATAGTCTTAGTTTATACATTAGCTAGTTTCCCACACTAAAAATAAAAGGAAAATAGGAAAACATAAAATGTATTTCTTATATTAGTCAAGTAGATTTTTCTTTGGCTCATTTTAGTTTTTATTAATGTTGGACTGATTGTTTTTTTGTCCCTGACTACTTCAATGATTGTTACTTAAATACCACTATCATGGTTTTACTAACCATTTGAATGTAAATCACTTCTAAAAATTAAGGTTTATTTTGAGATTTCATATTATTTGAATCAATTTTATATCAAGAATGGGTTGAATGTAGGCAGAAATGTCAAGGTTGGAAGCAAAGGACAAGAAAACTGCTATAAAATATCTCATTCTCTAAACACACACTGTTTTGCACACTTGAAAGTAAAGGTCATTTGTTGAACATTTTAATATCCGGACATGTTTAGGACATTGCTAAGTCTCTTGTGACTATCACTGACGGATCTACACTCTTGTTTGATGCATGCGTATTTTGAGTTTTGATACCCAATATAGAATAAGTGACTCGGGGTACCTGGGTGGCTCAGTCGTTAAGCGTCTGCCTTAGGCTCAGGTCATGGTCCCAGGATCCTGGGATCGAGCCCCGCATCGGGCTCCTTGCTCAGTGGAGAATCTGCTTCTCCCTTTCTTTCTCCCTCTGCCTCTCCCCCTGTTCGTGCTAGCTCGCTCTCTCTCTCTCTCAAATAAATAAATAAAATCTTTTTAAAAAAAAATGACAAGTGACCGTACTCAGAACCCTACTGTGAGAGCCTTGAGGCTACCTCCATTTACCTTTCAGTTTAGAGTCTGCAAAATTGTTCTTTAAAGGTCCAGATTGCGAGTAATGTAAGCTTTGCAGCCATACAGTCTCTGTTCAACTTTTCGCAACCACTGTTATAGCACAAAAGCAGCTGTGGACAAAGCCACACACAAGCCACACGTGACACATGAACCAATGGGTGGGGCTGCCTTCCAGTAAGTGAGTGTCTCAGTTTGGGCCCCCAGTGGTAGTTTGCCAGCCCTGTCACTACCTCCCTCTCTATATTCCACGCTTGCATTAAGTTATAAAGAAAGAGGCAACAGGGTACACATCTTCCCAGACATCAAACTGGGCAAGAGACTGATGCATTCCTGATAACAGATGCCAAGATTAATCTTATTTCCAGGGAGCTGAGAGAAGAATAACTTTCTACTGACCAGTCTATAATAAGGAAAACAACTGAAATAGTATTTTTTTAAAATTCACATCATTATCTTTAAAATTTTAGGCCTGGTAATAGCCAATGCTGCAATATTTTTCTTTATTCTAATGTGAGAAATAATATCAAATTATCAAAAATAAATTTATCATGATATCATACATAATCTCACTTTATCAAAAGATGCTTTTGTTTTAAAGTTGTGGCAGTTGTTTCATAATGCCTGAAGTGTGCATTAACTTTATTCCTTCCAAAATGTATCTTTATATTCTCCTCTATAAAAGGCTTCTAATTAGCAGGATAATTCCAAATTCTTCAGCCATGTAAAATAGACTTGCTAAAAATGCATATGTTTTATAGGTCTCTAATGCTTTATCATGTACGAAACACTGAGGCATTCTGAACAATCGTATTAAAGATACGTTCTATTATAACCTTCATTCTTTTGGAGAGAGCACAGTTAGGGTCCCTAGGGTACTGACATAGTCTCTCTCTGAGATTAGTGATGATATATATCTATTAGTCAAACAAGGCTTCGGTTTTCAGAATTAATGTTTTGTAATGATGTAAAAGTTTAATAAACATTTATTAATTTATTATATCAGAGTCTACGTAGTATTTTAGGAAGTATAAGAGTGGGAGAATGATATACTGTGAAGGGATACATGAGTTGGAATTTATTCTGTTGATCTTTGTTAACTTGGCAAGTTAACATTTTTTTTTCTCTTTGTTTATAAGGATCTTCAGGTATTACTTGAAGGGTGAGTGATCTTATACCGTTTGGATTCTGACACCCCATATTAGGTTACTATTCCAGGTGAGCAATCTCCTCTATGATGCATGTTTCTTAACTGTTCTATGTACCAAGCTGTCCCTCCTGCAATCATTTTACACCAAATCAAGCTTTTTAAAATGCCAATCTGATCATTTTATTCTTCAGCTAAAAATATTTCAAAGATTTATTATTCCTTGAAAAATTAAACAATAGAGTATGACTTGGAAAATACCACGCTCAAAATCTACTTATTTTTCCTCATCTTTTACCACTTACTCATGCTCAAAGACACCTGTATGTTTCACTTGTTCTTCACTCCAGACTACAGATCAGAGCATAGGTAATTTCTATTTATTCACTTTGGATGACATATCTTGTGAAGCTTTAATTTATCAAACAATTTGGTTAGGTATTCTTTTGAATGCTTTCATGGAATGCTGTGATTATTTCTGTCATACCAGGGAGTCTATTTCATTTTTGTCCCCTACATAGGTTATGAGCTTCTCAAAGGCTGCTACATTGTAGGTACTCAAAAAATGGATACATGAAAAAAAATGTAACAGGCAAAGAATTATAGGTAATAATTCTTATAGTAATTATATATGTATAATATTAGTAATAATTATTACTAATTCAATCCAGCTAGTGCAGTAACTGATTTATGCAAATGTATTGAAATCTTAACTGTATAAGAACTCTCTGGTCTCCATATCAACATATGTTTACTTTATGATTCTATATTTCTTTTTTTTTTAAAGATTTTATTTATTTATTTGAGAGTGAGCAAGAGAGTGAGAGAAAGAGAGAGAGAGAGAGAGAGAGAGCGCGCGCGCACCAGCAATGAGGAGGGGCAGAGGGAGAAGCAGACTCCTGCGGAGCAGGGAGCCAGAGGCGAGGCTCGATCCCAGGACGCTGGGATCATGACCTGAGCAGAAGGCAAACGCTTAACGGACTGAGTCACCCAGGCACCCCTGATTCTATATTTCTTATTACTCATTGGTAAGGCCTGATATTTGATTTTTTTATTTAATTATGTGTTTGTATTTCTCCATTCTCACCATCTCACCTGATCACATTTTGCCAGGTGAATGGCTAGCATCTGGGCAGTGTTTCTTACCAAGTAAGAGTGAACCAATTAATTGACACTTTTTTTTTAACAAGTAACATTTGTGGCTTCATTAAAAATAATTTATGAATAATTCACAAATTCTGAACAGATATTTCTCTAACATAACAAAGGAAAATAATATCCTTAAAACAAATGCTTCAATGGTTATGAGAAAAATTTGGAAATTAAGGAATTTCTTTAGTTCTTATATTTTCCTTAGCAAGGAAGTCATTTTAGGAATATTTTCATAATCCGTATTTCAATATCAATAAGCTAGTGAGCTAGCAAATTATTCTTGCTGAATGCTTTCCAGAGCTTGACAATTTAGATTCCTATAATACTAAGGTTCCAGTTCCCAAAATTTATTGAAAAGTTTACATTTCAGGGCGCCTAGGTGTCTCAGTTGGTTATGCATCTGACTCTTGATTTCGGCTCAGGTCATGATCTCAGGATCACGGGATCAAGCCCTGCATCTGGCTCTGCGCTCAGTGTGGAGTCCTCTTGTGCCTCTCCCTCTGTTCCTCCCCTGCTCCCTCTCTCTCTCAAATAAATAAAATCTTAAAAAAATAAACATTTATGTTTCAATTACCTTTTTCTATAAGAAAAATTAAAGTCACTAAACTATTATTAGACTGCTGTGCAGGAATGCTAATAGCATCCAAAATATAATTCTTAGGGGAGAATTTCAAAGATAGCACATGGATACAGTGGCATTAATGGTCAACAAATGAAAACTTAATATAAGCTGAATAATAGGATATAAAAAAAATTGTGGTGATTTATAAAAATATTTGGCATAGTGTTGCCATGTTTTATTTGGTTAATATGAATGTTTTATTTCAAACATGGTAATTAAAACAAACATTGAGTTAATGTACCTGGCTCTTTATGCTAGATAGGTATCTTACTATTAAGGGATTGTTGCCTTCATTCAGCTTTAAGCAAGGCATACATGTCTACATGTACTCTCCTTTCATTGTTCAAGGAAACACATTGCTCAAGGAAAGCAAATTTCTTGATTTTCTTCCTAATATACAACATCAAAAGGCATCAGTCTTCAGGAAATACATGTACTATAGAACAAAAGGGAACAAATCACATTTTGAAATTTATAGAATTCGTAATTTGGGCCATTGCAAGATTACTGGTATTTCACATATGTTTTTATGGTGTTTTCAAATATAAATGTAAACAACGTAAATCAACACCATTCCATCTTCTTTCCCAGTTATGTCAGTCATGTGTGACAGGGGCTAAGAATATTGGCATAAGTGAGTTTAACACAGGACCACAGTTAGACATTTAAAGGTATGGCTTCTAGAGTTAGGCCTGAAAGTAAGCCTTGCTTCTTTTTGTGGGTCCTTTGGAAATTATTTAACCTGTGGATATATGAGCTTCTTCATCTGTAAAATAGTAATAATTATATATACCTTATTGGGTTATTGTGAGATTAATAAGCTGATAAATGCAAAACATTGAGAAGAAAACATTAAGTAATGAGTGCATTTGATCACAATCTCTGCCTGCACCCACATATCAGGAGAACGATATTGCTCATCTACCTTTCAATTCTCTGTAAACAACCCCACCTCCGAACTTCAAATATAGATTTCATGTTTTATTTTTTCAGGGCTTCATTATGAAGATCAAAGTAATGAATGAGAGGAGAGCTGGATCAAGTGAGAGCCTAGAGGAATTACACTGGAAACTGTAAGGGAAGGGGTAGGCAGGGGTAGAAAGTCAAGAGGGAAATGCAGGAGTTGGAGAGATTAGTCAGAGAAATTTGGAATAACAGGTAAACAAGAGTTTTTGGAAAGAGCCGCTTTGTGTGTGAGTTATTAACAGAATAGGAGAGATGAGGAAGGGGGAATAATTAAATAAATTTTTCTGAATTGTGTAAATATCTTATTAGGTATTTCTTTTTAATTTCAAACAAGTTTTAATTATCTTATTTTTGTTGATCACACATTCTTTGAATAAAATACCCACTCAACGTAAGAAGAAGGTATTCCAAATCTGTGAAGTTTACATATATACATGTGTAAGACATACATTAGTATTTCTGCCTAAGGAATTTCCTAATTCAAAGATAAGCTAGAGAAAAGTCTATAATTATAACGCATGGCTATACTTCAAGCAACCGCAGTTCTTCATTTGCTCCTCTAAAGCTGAGCAGTTCTGAAACACTGAGAAACTCCCTCCTTTCTATGACAAATACCTGATAAAACCATTCTATTTTGCTTTTATTCTGCATTTTGGTTTGCAGTGAAATCACCCTGGATTTTTCAAGCAAGAGAACACATGGATTCAAAATGATATATTTGCTCACTGAACCAGGTGCCTTGATTATGCTTATTCTCTATGTGACATATAAGCACATGTCTCCCTTGGCTCCAGCACAAGTTTGATTAGGATTAAAAGATATGTTGGATTGTACCTAAAAGGGCATTACTTGGAGTCTAGATGATTGAGTACTTATTCCTTCCCATGTCATAGTTTCATGTTCTTATCCAGAATTCTGTCTTCAACAGTGAAAACAATACAGGCTTCAGTAAGAAATGTTTTGGGATATTACAGTTGCTATTCCCAAATAGAAGAGTTAAAAAAATACATGGCTCAAGGAGAGCAAATTTCTTGATTTTCTTCTTAATATACAACATCAAAAGGCATCAGTCTTTAGGAAATACATGTACTATAGAACAAAAGGGAACAAATCACATTTTGAAATTTATAGAATTCATAATTTGGACCATTGCAAGATTACTAGTATTCACATATGTTTTTACAGTGTTTTCAAATGTAAGTGTATACAACGTAAATCAACACCATTCCATAACTAAGAAGTCAGATTATTAAGCTTAAGGGCATTTGTATTCTTTCCAAGAGCTTTAAGGCTAGAGGGAAATATAAACAATAAAATGATTATTTAGAAAAATAATCATAATTTTGTGTAGATCAAGTAATACTATGTTTGAAAACAGTTACAGAACTCTCCCAGAATTCTTAGCACATTTTTACAGTATGTGCTAACAAATCAATTTGCTTTGTTATTGGTGATAGTATAAATTTTTGTTGTTGTTGTTATTGTTGTTTTTGTATAAGAGTCTCTGCAAGTCTGACAGCTAGTACTGCCAAGGGCTTAGCAAAGAAGACACTAGCAATGGGTAATGGAAACCTGTGCAGAATTCTCTCAGTAGTTATAATGCTATGGTCGATATATATGATCAATCTACTTTAAACTCACATACACACGTGCATCGTGTGCACACACACAATGTTTAATTTGTGGTTTCTATTATGTTCTATTACTGGCATGATGGTCCGTAGCACTAATATTAAGTACAGACATTTTATCATTGCAACTGAAGAGTAAGAAAATGGAAGCAATAACAATGAAATGTAGTTCAATTATAAAAATTCAATAGATTCTAAAATATGTGTGGCCAAAAAAAAAAAAATCACTGAGAATAATTTAAGAATTATAACTGGATGTTATACATAATTTGGCATGGTGCAATAAATATTACAATTATATAAATTCTCATATTAACAAGAAATTAGCCAAATATTGCATTACATATTACACATCATATATTACTTTAATATTATGATATTTATCTTTACAATGATTTTAGAAACTGAATTATTAAAAATATTTTCTTTGAATAAATAGAGCCAGAGAAATCCTACTTAGAGAAAGCACATCTGAGCTTTTCTAGACAAGTTAAGATTGTAAATTCATTTGGCATTGTTCATCAACTTAAAAAAAAAATAAAAGTAAAAGCAAATCATATTTGTGGTAGATTCCAAACATGGCCAAAATTTTTTTTCTCCCTGTAATCTTGCCTTGTGAACTCCCCTGCCACTCTGGCCTTGTGACTTGTTTGGGTCGATACCATGTTAGCAAATGTGATGCAAGCAGAGGCTTGAGAAGCACTTGCACAGAGGGCGCATCCTCTCTTGCAGCTCCTGGGTCTCCTGCCACCATGAGAATATGACCAGTTAGTCTACCAGATGATGAGAGGCACATGGCCTGGTAACTCCACCAACCTGGCTGACAGTCTTCAAACCATTCACATTAGGCTATGTTGGAACATCCAATCACTGGACAATCTACTTTCTGATGACAGATAAAAGAGAGCTCTGCGGAGATGAACTGAGCTAGCCCAGTTCAGAATAATTGTTCAGAGAACCCACAAAATCATGACCTAATTAAATGGTTGCAGTTTTAGGCCATTTTGTTTCAGAGTGGTTGGTTACACAGCAAAAGCTACACACATGAAAAAACACAAACTAAATATGTTAGGGATTGTTTTAACTGTATTATGCAACGTGCTTACTTTACAATGGAAGGTTATCTAGCAACTTTAGCACCAGGTACAGACAGATCTGTATTCAGAACGGGTTATAATAATAACATTTAAGGACTATTATGTTTTTTACTTACAGTGTATTTAATGCTGTTTTGGTTTGTTTTGCACATAATAACACATTATATTCCTGTGTTAACCAGCTAGAATAGTACTATTTTTATCACTCTCATTTGTTTTATAGAGACAAACAGAGGACAGATCAGTAAATAAGATAGATCATTGATTTGAACTGAGGCAGCCTGGCTCTATAAACTGAATTCTCAACCATTATATTGCTTCTTGTGACTGATATTCACAATACATTGTAGGGTAAATAAAACAGGAAATAGGATATTATGAAAATTCAACCCAAATTTTTGTTTCAAAAGATAAATAGTTTGTACAGAGTAGACAAAGATAAGTAAATGACATGAGCACACTAATGTTTCCTATTGCTACTGTTACAAATTACTGTAAATATAATGGCTTAAAACAACACAAATTTATTATCTTACAGTTCTGTAGGTCAGGAGTTCAGTACAGGTCTCGCCAGTATAAAATGGAAGTATTGGTAGGCTGTGTTCCTTTGTGGAGAATATAGAGGAAAATGTGGTTCCTGCCAATCCAGGTTGTGGACAGAATTTAATTCATTGAGGTTTTGGATTGACACCCTTGATTTTTTGCTGGCTATAATCTGAGGGCTGTTCCAGCTTCTAGAAGCAGCTGTGTTCTTTGTCTTCTAGCCTCTGTCCTCCATTTTCAAGCCCAGGTATGATGAGTTGAATCCTCACGTGGCAT